ATTTAAACATTTTGTTTTATATTTTAAAATATTTTAGGATATTTTATTTAATATTTTTTACAATAAATATGCCCAAATATTTTTGAGAGCACGGTATACACTATAAACATTGACATCTCTTCCCATCTCTTACTCTCTCACACTCTCTGACTGGCTCCTTTGTCTCTCTCTCTCTCTCTCTCCATTATTATTATTTTTCGTCCTGAACGTGATGAGACAGAGGACAGTACTGCGGGCACTTATCCCTGCCAGCTGGTATGGAACTAATCAGAGCTGAAATATTTCTCATTAAAGGAGGGCCTCACTCTCCCTGTGTGTATGTAAGAGTGTGTGTGCCTGCTGATATGCATGGGCTTATGACAGGCAGGAATAACTCTGTGACAGGTTTATTGGAAAAAGTCTTTGTAGGGCTGAATTACAGTAGACTGTCTAAACCAAGTTAGCCGCACAAGTCCCAAAAAGTGAAGCCAATTCAGTCGCCCATTGATGGTTGGATGCAGTATAGGTCTTAAACCGTCTCCATGTAATTCAAAGCTTCTAAGACGCGACGTAGTCACTGAGGCACCAACTGACTTATTTTTGTGAGTCGATTGGAACTTCAACTTTTCATATTTCTACTTTTCCACAACTGTTTATTTCACATCAATACAATGACTTGTTATGTCATACTAAATGATTCTGCGGGAGTGTGATATCTTCTCTGAGACTTTGCCAGCGCCATATTGGGACATTGGCAGCTGCACTTTTCAACAATAGAGAGTGAAGGTGTCATCCATCTTTTTTTTTTACAGTCTAACCTTTATATACAGAGATCATGAAAGCACAGTAACAAGATTGCTGTGCCAGTCTCTCAATCACACACACATCTATTCCAAAAGAAGGTTTCATTGCATGATACAGCAAGATCCTTGTCTTGATGGTGGTTTTATGACTATGTTTGTCACTGTGTGATCTTTATGATCATCACCACATTCATGAGACTCATCCAGAAACCACTGAGAGGAACTGAAGATTAGCTGAATCAGCGCGTGTCTGATTGCGGATCGCTGAAGCTCGTTCTTTCTGACTCCGTTGTGCCGCGTGGTAGTAAGAGGGTCTGTCACAAATGATCCCACGCTCACCCTCCTCTTCATTACCCTTCATCCTCCAGTGATCACAGAGCTCCTCTGCCAGCCTGCCAGTTTACTGGCTCAAAGCTGGAGGACGGAGGTCTGGGATGAGTGTTATGTGGTGTAGGGGAGGAATTATGGGTAACGTGAGAGAGAATGATTATGTCAGTAGGATGTTGAGTGAGATAATAAAACACGGGTAGGAATATACAAACAGTTTAGTCTGATTCCCAAATGAATGACTCTAATCAGTTGGTTCTTTTTAGTGAATCAAACAATACAGCATGACCCATTTAGCCAGATTCATAAATTAATGAGTCTAATGAGATGGTTCTTTTATAGTGAATCAAAAATCATGTATTTCAGTTCTGCCAGTATAGTCGGATTCCTCAATGAATGATTCTAATGAGCCATATCTTTTTAGGGAATTAAAAACATACAGCGGGACCATCTGATTCATATACAGATTGATACGAACTGGTTCTCTTTTGTGAATCAGAAACATGCAGCATGACCATTTAGCCATATTCCTAAGCAAATGAGTGGTTCTTTAAGTGAATCATATACCAGTGTAGGCCTAAACGTATGACTTTTATTGAAGTTTTGCTTTGTTATTTTTTGGGGTGGAATAATTACGGCATCCAACAGCAGGATATAACCTGGTCATACTAATATCAGCCAAAACATGACTCTTTTAGCAGTTCATAAACAAATCACTTTTTTGAGACAGTTCTTTTAATGAATCGTTCAAAAAGACTAGTGTGAATCAGTCTTAACAAATTATTCCATCAGAGTGGGTGGAGGTTTTCCCTGTTGCAAAATAATACTGTAGAAAACATTGATGGGTTGCAGATTTTAAACTGATAAGCTAGCAGAATAAGCTATCTATTTTCAGTAGACTTGGGAATACAAGTGTTGTTGAAATCCAGTTTGGTGAATCAGAGGTAGAGTTAAAGAAAGAAAAAAGGCTGACTTCTCAGTACAGAACACTCTGAATGAATGGGAAAATGATTCATGAAAAAAGAGAGAAAGTGAGGGCCAAATATGGAAGTCACTGAGTAAAGGTTGCTGTCCTTTCTGTCTGGTCTCCTTTATTCCAGCAGGATCAGAGGAATGCTGGAGAGGAAGAGACTGAGGGAAGGATGAATGGAGGCTTTAGCTGATGGGTTTAAGGCTCTTGGCAGCAGGAGATAGAGGAACTTTGGAGTCCAAATTTCTCTGAACAGAATGTGCTTTTATTGATATTTGTGTTGATTCTGAGAGTAATTTTACAAGGCATGTTGTTAAATGTGAGGAAAAGAGCATATTACCCTCAGATGCTGTTAAAATATATATATATATATATATATATATTTCAAGGCTTACAGATTGAACGTCCACTTGTCAACGAAGAGTTATATAATGTAATACATCTTATTTTAGTTCTTTTTTACTTTCTCCCGTCCAACCTAATGTGTACTACAAGTATGCCATTCAAACATTTTTGGTTCCCTGAAAGTTTATGTTTCCATCTGAAGTTGCGAATTAACCCTTTCCTGACGTTGGCAAGTTTGCCCGGGAATCCACTTGTTCACTGTTGGTTGTATGGTAGGGGGCACTTTTACACATCTTTTGAGATAGTACATAATCTCTGGATCTAAAAAGAAGCAGAGACAAGCGATAGAAGCACTGCTTAAGCGCATGTAAGCTAACTTGTCACTCTCAGAAAAAAAAGGTACAAAAGCTGTCACTGGGGCGGTACCAAAAATGTATAGCCTGAAGAGGTATATAGGGGTGTTGATGGACTCAATCTACTGCCAACTTGGTTTTGATAATCGTTAATCTGATCTGGATGAAGTCTAGGAATTTCGTGCAAAACACCTGTAATAAAAATGAAGTTGCTGCAATTGTAGAAGCCATTTTGGCTCTTTTGACTGTGTACTGATTTACTGTTTAGTCGCTACTATATTTTGTTGAAAAATAAATTATGGTTGTCATCTGTTTTTTGTTTTAAACAGTAAAAATGTTGCGAAAAGTCAAAATGATCTTGTAAAATTACATTGTCTATTTTGCAAGAATTGCATTTCACAGAAAAAAAATAGAGCATGGTCCCTTTAAAAGAATGTTTACATTGGTTTTCATTCAATGATAATCTTTTAAAGTTTATTTTGACTAGTTTTTCTGGAATGTTTTTGACAGACTTGTTTATCCTAAATAATTGTTTTGTTCTTTATAAGCTGGGTCTAAGGCATCCAGGTGTGCCAGAGGTCTTTTTTTTTCTCTCGAGGCAGCTTTGATTTACATTTGAGTAAAGCCAGATTAAAGTTCTGACACGTTGGTTGAAAAGTAAGATGGCTGCCTTTGGTTCATGCGGTTCTTCTCTGTGCTCAACATGATTTGTTGAGCCCCACAACAGAAACATATGCCCGAGGTAAATCACAGTGGTGTGGTCCTGTCAAACTCAACACAAAAACCCTGTTGTAACTGTATATGAAAACAAGCCTTAGAAATATGTTCCGGCCTATTATGAAGCCGAACCGGAAGACAAGTTCCTCTCTGAATTGGCACATAAACGCAAGTCTTCAGTTGAAATACTTGAGATTATTTATAAAAGGGGTGGATATGGTGCTCCTGTAGTATTGTATTTCTGTAATTATAAACAATGAAACCTATTAGCAGTTTATGTGGATGGGGATTTGCAGAATTCAACTAGTGCAACATATTTTCTACTCACTGGGATCAGAATTCACTTACTAAGAGCCCAATTTGAGATAAAATGCCAGCTGGCCTGTAACCTTTTTAAGAGCTTCCACACATGGGTTAAATCTGACCATCATTTAAAAATCAAATATATAAAAACTGTTAAAAAATAAAGAATGTGTCTATATGCACGTTTAAAAACTCAAACGTTACTTTTATTGTAAGTTCTCAGTGTAAACTTTACTATCTTGAGTTTATCCTGGATGCCTTAATTATTATTATTATTTTTTTACAGAAATTTTTACATGCACATACTGTATATAATAATATTACATATACAGTATGTGCATCTACAAAGGAATAACATTATGCTTGAATTATATATACTTAAAATGTACATATTAGCACCTAAAATGTACATATTAGCACCTAAAATATACATATTAGTACCTAAAATGGACAAAGGTTTACCTTTTGAAAAGGTACAGCCCCAGTGACAGCTTTCGTACCTTTTTTCTGAGAGTGTAATGGTTTAATTTGTATTATAAAATTATATGATACCATTGAATGGTAGATTATTTGGAATAATGTTTGCATGAATAAGTTTGTTTCACTATACTGTACCAAATGCTTACATTTTTTTGACAACCAACTAGTGAGGACATTTTACTGGTTCATGCAAACCGTGCATACACACACACGCACACATTTGACATTCACAAACACACACTCAGCAGTAGGCAAGATTAAATTGGACTCTCAGGCTGCCAATATCGAGGTCGGAATGTTAATGAGAGTTCTCTATGGGGACACATTGAGAAAGAGAAATGGAGAGAGAACACCGCATGTAGTGAGATTCAGCCTGTGGTTTCTGTACACAGCTCCTCAAAACCATCAATAAAGAGATAATCAAGGACGAGAGAGAGAGAGATGCTTGATCATTATTTCACGTAGGTGCTGAGTCAGAGGCTGCAAGCTGGTTTTTTCTTTAGCTACTGCACTAATGCACACAGACAGTACTCTGCTCAACCTGCCACACACTGGCAGACTGAAGAACTGCAGTTTGAACAGTGAAAAAGCACTGTACTTTATCTGGGAGCTTGAGTTATGAAGCATCTGTCACATTAATACAATAAAAGCATCCAAGAATTAGTTAGAAATTTAACCACATGAAGATCAACTCAAAACTCTTTTGCCTGTTTTCTCCTGCAGAAAAGCTCTACATCTCAACCGGACGTGAGCTGCGAAGAGCTCTGTTCTCTCTCAAGCAAATATTTCAGGTAAGCTGCCCCACTTCGAATTAGCGTTAGCACGGATCACCTGCTAATGTCTTTTTCATCAGCAGCACATGTGTGTGAATATGTGCCTGTGTTTTCATGCATGTTTGAGCTGTATGGGTACGCTGGATTTTCTCTCTGCACAGAAATTTCCAGATACCAAAGCTGGAGTCTCCATCATTGATTGATTTTAAAGCTGTGCTGGAAGCTACTGTTTTTCCTCTAGAGGAACCATGTCTGAACATCGCACTGTGTGTGTGTGTGTATGAGATTAAATGTCTTTCCACTAAAGTTTTAGCATTTTAATGACAAAAGCATCTGAAACTTTCACACCTGTCATCAAGTGCGTAATTTAAACCTGCCAGAGGCTATACATAAACACACACAAATACTCTGGAGCACAAACAAACACAAACATACATAGCTTTGTGAGAACACATATACAGCTTTGTTGGGGAAGCTACTGACCTGTAACATTTTAGGCTACACACTACACTGTAAAAAATTTACTGTAAAATTTACAGTAACTTACTGGCAACGATTAGCCAGTAAGTTACTGTGAATACTCTTTACAGTAAGGGTACTGTACTTCCATTTACAGTATTTTATGTTTATACTGTGAATTCAAAAACAATTAAATACTGTGATTTTAGTTGTATTTACAGTAACTTACTGGCTAATCGTTGCCAGTAAGTTACTGTGAATACGTTTTACAGTAAGGGTAGTGTACTTTTCACAGTATTTTATGTAAACACTGTGAAATCAAAAACATTGAAATATTATGATTTTGGTTGTATTTACAGCATTGATTGTTTTACTGTAGAAGAAAATTTCAATTTAATTTACATACAAAAAACGTTAAGCACTGTTTTTTATGTATTGTATGCAACACAGTACTATAAACAGTAGATAACGGTTAAGCACTGTAAATTCAGTTTCTCACTGTACAATTTAAATACTATATCACTATCATTTAATATTAGCCATCATTAAAAGAAACACCCATTTTTCTAAAACATTGCAATCAACTGCAGACAATAAGAAAATTGTTAACAGTTATTTATTTAAAAAGGTTTGGTGAACCGAAATGACAAAACAGGTACAACAAAGGGATAATGGACATTGGACAACATGCCATTATACCATCCAAAGTTAATGCACGTTCTATGCAAGTAATGTGGCCACAACACCCAGCGGAGTGTTAACTTTAGATAGTCTAATGGCGTGAAGTCTATTATCATGCTTATTCTACTGTTGCTAAATTCAAAGGAACACTCCGACTTTTTGGGACTTTAGCTTTTTCACCGTATCCCCCAGAGTTAGATAAATCCTTACATACCTTTTTCATCTCCATGCGTGCTGTAACTCTGTCTGACACACCCACCGCTAGCCTATAGCTTAGCACAAAGACTGGATGTAAATGGTTCCAGCTAGCATACTAATCCCAATAAGTGACAAAATAACGCAAACATTTTCCTATTTATGTTGTGATTTGTCTAAATCAGAGTGTACAAATAACAAGGTCATATGAGACACAGCCATCTTTTAACCGTAAATTGGGAACTATATTTTCAGAAGGCGAAGCACTGCTACTTGAGCGGAGTGATAACCGCAGCACCTGAGACGCACCGTGGAGAGGAGCAGAGAGTTCGTTCAGAGTTGGATTAATAGAGTCAGCAATTACTAGATAGTGAAAGCATAGTTTACAATCATGAGTGTTCGCTGTATTGTAAAGAGCTGCGACAATAAATGGGAGACCAGGTAATGCCATGATGTTTCTTAGAATTCCAAACAAAAATGCTGACCTGTGATATTTATTAGTCAGGATGCATTTTTGTTTGGAATTCTATGAAACATGGCATTACCTGGTCTCCCATTTATTGTCGCAGCTCTTTACAATACAGCGAACACTCATGATTGTAAACTATGCTTTCACTATCTAGTAATTGCTGACTCTATTATTCCAACTCTGAACGAACTCTCTGCTCCTCTCCATGGCGCGTCTCGGGTGCTGCGGTTATCACTCCGCCCAAGTAGCATGCTTCGCCTTCTGAGAATATAGTTCCCAATATTTATACGGTAAAGATGGCTGTGTCACATATGACCTTGTTTTTTGTACACTCTGTGACTATACAATTCACAACATGTAAATAGGAAAATGTTTGCGTTATTTTGTCACTTATTGGGATTAGTATGCTAGTTGGAGCCATTTAGACCCAGTCTTTGTGCTAAGCTAGGCTAGCGGTGGGTGTGTCAGACAGAGTTACAGCATGCACGAGATATATCTAACTCTGGGCGATACAGTGAATATGCTAAAGTCCCAACAAGTTGTCGTGTTCCTTTAATTTACGACTGAAGAAAATTTTACAAAACGTTTTTTTAAAGTTACAGAGCAAATTGTTATTAGTTCATTCACTAGTTCCGTATGACTAGTTGCTATAATGGAACAATAATGCAAATTGATACAATACAGTCAAAAAATTTAACTACTTTGAAGTTGTGCAAATAACTGATTACCCCATTCTAAAGAGCAATAAATAACATTATGGCAATATTGAAATAAAATAAAACATTGAACATTAAAAAAATATATATTTAACATTTGCATGAACATTTAAAACAGAAAGGAAAATAAACTTCCCCTGCCACTTGGCAAAGGTCTATGGCCTCTTGCATGCCTTGACCTTGGAGACAGAGAATCCTATTTGGAGCCCTGAAATTAAAGAAGAAAACACATTAAATCGACTGAATGGTTTCGAAAACGGTAAAACTCAACTGTTTAACTCTGGGAGAGTTGTAGAGCCAATAAAAAACAAAAGTGGAGTGTTCCTTTAACAAATACAACTTATTTAAATAATTTAGGCTACTAGTAAATGGTGAAATTAACATTTAGAAAGTTTAATAAATGCTGTAGAAGTGCAGTTTATTAATAGTTAATGTTAACTAATGTAGTTAACTAGAGTTTAATAAATGGAACCATATTGTAAAGTGTTACCAATTTGTTATACACCGATTCAGACGTCTCGTGACAGATCAGTTATTTTAACTAGAGCCCGACTGATAAAGGATTTTGAAGGCAGATACCGATACAAATATTTGTTGGTTTTAAAATCCGATATTCCTATATATCGGCCGATATATATATATATATATATTTAGAAACACGCAACAAAACATAACAGATTACCCTAACATTAGTTATTAGTAGTTATTTATGAGTTTTAACTAGTATAGATGGTATAGCATGGTAAACGTGCGTGCCAGTGATGCAGAATTGACCACGCATGGTCAAGATCAACCTCTTGAAAGCAGATGGACTCTAAAACAGTGGGCATCGCAATTCAACAGCCATACTGACACCTGTTAGCATTGCAAACCCGCTCTTCGCCCCAAACCACCACCGGCTGTTCTACATAGCAACGTAACTTACATGGTGTTGACGAGACGGGAATATGATGGCAGACATCGTGAACAATGTTTGAACACGTGAACACAGTGCAGATTGTCAACATAACATTAGACATTGTCTTTTTGTCTAATAACTGTACCTAACATTAGTCGTCCGCGGTCAAAACACTGTGGTGTAAACAGTTTGATGTTGGGATATTCACTGCCCAAAGCCTATTAACTAAAGCCAACCAACCCCGTTACGTCACATGTTAGAATACTGCGCAATGGCGGCACCCTGGTGGCGAAAGATATAAAGTTTTTTCTTTTTTTCTTTTATATGTTTACATTTGTCATGTGTCTTATATAATTGTTGATTATAGTGGAAATCCATCTAGTAAATCATGTAAACTTGATTGACTGCTTAATTTCCCCTTTAAAGGATTAGTTCTTAAAGGAGAACTCCAGTGCAAAATGAACCTTTGGTCTAATAACATATTGGTACCTAGTCGACCATTCTCTGAGATTTGTTTTTATGATAATCGAATGTAAAGAGTTTTATCTCTAAAAACTGTTTAGTGTATAAAGCTAGTATATGGGGGCATTGACTAAGTAAAAAGAAATCGCTAATACCACTAACAAGGCTCAAAATAGCCCCACACTAACATAGTAACATAATGAGGGTCCATACATCCAAAACGAAGCATTGAGAACTTTGTAAGTGTACAGACAGTATAATAAGAAGATATTTTATCAAGACAGTCCACTTCGCGTATACAGGCAGGAGCCATCTTGGGAAAACAGTCTCGACAAGTCGAACCACGAATGCCGTTTGGTGTTAGTGTGGGGCTATTTTGAGCCTTGTTAGTGGTATTAACTAGCGATAGATCTAACTTATTATATGTCCCCATATACTAGCGTTATAATCTAAACAGTTTTTAGAGATAAAACTCTTTACATTCGATTATCATGAAAACAAATATCAGAGAACGGCTGACTAGGTAAAAATGTGTTATTAGACCAACGGTTCATTTTACGCCGGAGTTCTCCTTTAAATTCTTTTCCACTGAAGAAAGAAAGAGATGGATATCTTGGATGCCATTGGGGTGAGTTAATTATAAGGAAATTTACATTTTGAGGTAAACTAATCCTTTAGGTTTAAAATAAAAATGTTTAAATGTAATATATTTTTCTCATGGTCCTTATTTTAAATAGGTCATAAAAATATCAATAATTGTCGATATCAACCAATATGAAACACTTACAGTATATCGTGATACAGTTTTCAGACATATCGCCCAGCCCTATTTAGGGCCCTATGATTTCCGCGATAACGAAATCGCGGACGGAATCGCGGAATTGGCCAATTAACGCGGAATCTAGTGTTAACGCGGAATTTCGTAGATTTTTGCATATTTGGTTTGAAATTCTGTTTTTGTGTGGGAGAAGAACGTATGTCTGGTGAAAATGCAGACCGGGGGAAGCAAATCTGGGCGACTCAACCCCCCAACCCGTCATTTCAGCTCCAATGACGAAATCAAAACAATGAAAGCATGGCGAAGCGGCTCTCCTTTCGTCGACTAAAAGTTAAGAAACTCAACGCTATAAGCCTTCAG